GGCTGATGGTCACATGTGCTTCCCAGGTCACGTGTGGTGGGTTTCGGTTGCTAGATGGGGCCCATTGTGTTAGTTTCTGTTGCTATTGTGTTGCAAATGTCCTTTGACAAAGGATTGACTTTCTGCCTCTGGCCCATTAACAAAGGGTGGGGGGCAGGAAGGAGGGAGCTGCTTTGTCTGTAAAATATGCTTCTCCATTTCTCATCCAGGGAAATATAATATTCTGCCTTTTTAATATTTCCCAAAATATTTCATTCTTCTAGGAAAGGGGTGGGTGCTAACCTCCTACAACTGTTTAAATTTGTGAACCGGCCAAATACTCTGTTCAAAGAAAATATGTTGTATGTTTGTATGTGTGTTTCTAATTATTGCTATTTATTCCTATTTGTTCTCTTTTATTCTTTAAAGTTTAACAATTCATTCTTTATCTTAATATTTGTTTGGGGTTGGCTTTCTTCCCTTTCATCTTTTTTATTGTACAGCAATCTTTCTCCTCAAACCTACCACCTCTGTCTTTTCTTTCCTTCTTACTTTCTCTTCCCCCCTCTTCTTCTTCTCCCTACTTCCTTTTTCTTTCTCCTTCTCCTCTTCTCTTCCTCCCTCTCTTACCCTCACTCCTACTCTAATTTCCCTTCCCTTCCTTCATCCCTCTCTATTGCTGTATCCTTTTATGCATATGGACTATTCAGAGGGCTGAAAGTTATTTTTGACTGGTCCTCACACTTTTGACCACTCCTCGAACTTACAACTGTCCTGACAATTTACGTTTTTGCCCTATCTTGTCACCATGGTGAAGAGAAGCAGTTGTGAAATGAGTGACACGGTTGTTAAGAATGGTACAATGGGCATAAATGATGACCAGTCATAACTGCGAAGACCGGTCAAAAGTGCGAGGACCTGTCAGAAATCACATTTTTCAGCCCTCTGGGTAGTCCTTTTGTGCACAGGGACTACTCAGAGGGCTGAAAAAGTTATTTTTGACTGGTCCTCGCACTTTTGACCAGTCCTCGAATTTACGACTGTCCTCACATTTTACGTTTTTTGCCCTATCTTATACCATGTTGAAGAGAAGCAGTTGTGAAATGATTGACATGGTTGTTAAGAATGCTGCACAGGCATAAATGTGAGGATGGTCATAAGTGTGAGGACCAGTCAAAAGTCCGAGGACCTGTCAGAAGTGACTTTTTTCAGCCCTCTGAGTAGTCCCTATACACATAGCCATGGTCACCTGGTCACATGACCAGCTAGCCACTTCCACCCAGTCACATGACCTCCAAGCCACACCCACAGAACAGGTAGTAAAAAAATTTAGAACCCACCCCTGGTTGGGGGTCACCACAACATGAGGAACTGTATTAAAGGGTCGCGGCATTAGGAAGGTTGAGAACCACTGCTCTATACAGTCAGTAAAAACAAGACCAGGAGCTGACTATGGCTCAGATCATGAGCTTCTCGTTGCAAAATTTAGGCTTAAATTGAAGAAAGTAGGGGAAAGCACTAGGCTACTCAGGTATGAACTAAATCATATCCCTGATGAATATACAGTAGAGGTGACAATAGATCTAAGGAATTAGATCTGATAGACAGAGTGCCTGAAGAACTATGGATGGAGGTTCGCAACATTGTACAAGAGGTAGCAACTAAAATCATCCCAAAGAAAAAGAAATGCAAGAAAGCAAAATGGCTGTCAGAGGAAGCTTTGCAAATAGCTGAGGAAAGAAGGGAAGCAAAAGGCAAGGAAGAAAGAGAAAGATACACCCAATTGAATGCAGAATTCCAGAGAATAGCTAGAAGAGATAAGAATGCCTTCTTAAATGAACAGTGCAAAGAAATAGAAGAAAACAATAGAATAGGGAGGACCAGAGATCTCTTCAAGAAAATTGGAGATATGAAAGGAACGTTTCATGCAAAGATGGGCATGATAAAGGACCAAAAGGGCAGGGACCTAACAGAGGCAGAAAAGATTAAGAAGAGGTGGCAAAATTATACAGAAGAACTATACAAGAACGAGCTTAATGTCCCTGATAACCACGATGGGGTGGTCACTGACTGGCTCGAGCCAGACATCCTGGAATGCGAAGTCAAAAGAGCCTTAGGAAATCTGAGCAACAACAAAGCTAGTGGAGGTGACAGTTATTCCAGCTGAGCTATTCAAAATCTTAAAAGATGATGCAGTAAAAGTGCTACACTCAATTTGCCAGCAAATTTGGAAAACTCAACAGTGGCCACAGGATTGGAAAAAGTCAGTTTACATTCCAATTCCAAAGAAAGGCAATGCCAAAGAATGTTCAAACTATCGCACCATTGCACTCATTTCATATGCTAGTAAAGTTATGCTTAAAATCCTACAAGCTAGGCTCCAGCAGTATGTGGATCGAGAACTACCAGAAGTACAGGCAGGATTTTGAAGAGGCAGAGGAACTAGAGATCAAATTGTCAACATACGCTAGATCATGGAGAAAGCTAGGGAGTTCCAGAAAAAATCTGCTTCATTGACTATGCTAAAGCCTTTGACTGTGTGGATCACAACAAATTGTGGCAAGTTCTTAAAGAGATGGGAGTAGTAGACCATCTTATTTGTCTCTTGAGAAACCTATATGCGGGTCAAGAAGCAACAGTGAGAACTGGACACGGAACCACTGATTGGTTCAAAATTGGGAAAGGAGTCTGGCAAGGCTGTATTCTGTAACCCTGCCTATTTAACTTATATACAGAGCACTTCATGAGAAAGGGCTAGATGACTCAAAAGTTGGAATTAAGATTGTTGGGAGAAATAGCAACAACCTCAGATATGCAGATGATACCACTCTAATGGCAGAAAGTGAAGATGAATTAAAGAGCCTCTTGATGCGGGTAAAGAAGGAGAGTGCAAAAATTGGCTTGAAACTCAATATTAAGAAAACTAAGATCATGGCATCCAGCCCTCTCAATTCCTGGCAAATAGATGGGGAAGAAATGGAGGTAGTGACAGATTTTATTTTCGTTGGCTCCAAGATCATCGCAGATGCAGACTGCAGCTAAGAAATTAAAAGACGTTTGCTCCTGGGGAGGAAAGCTATGGCAAATTTAGACAGCATACTAAAAAGCAGAGACATCAACCTGTCAACAAAAGTGCGTATAGTCAAGGCTATGGTGTTCCCAGTTGTAACATATGGCTGTGAAAATTGGACCATAAGAAAGGCTGAGCGCCAAAAAATGAGGCCTTTGAACTATGGTGCTGGAGAAGACTCCTGCGAGTCCCTTGGACTGCAAGGTGATCAAACCGGTCAGTCCTAGAGGAGATCAACCCTGACTGCTCTTTAGAAGGCCAGATCCTGAAGATGAAACTCAAATACTTTGGCTACCTAATGAGAAGGAAGGACTCACTGGATCAGAACCTAATGCTGGGAAAGATTGAGGGCAAAAGAAGGGGACAACAGAGAATGAGGTGGCTGGATAGAGTCACTGAAGCAGTAGGCATGAGCTTAAATTGACTCCAGAGGATGGTAGAGAACAGGAAGGCCTGGAGGAACATTGTCCATGGGGTCGCGATAGGTCAGACATGATTTTGCAACTAACAACAACAAAGTCTGCTAACATGAAAGTTATTTTAATATACCAGTCTCAAAGACATCTGTATATTTGAACACTTAAATTATTAACTTTTTCCTTCCAAACAATAAAAGGAATTGCTAATAAATATTACATCAGAGTTCCCCAATCTTTCTGACTTTGAGGACCGGTCTGGGGGGGTTCCACCACTCATGCAAATGGAGTATATGCAGTGGTGGGATTCAGCCAGTTCGCACCACTTCGGGAGAACCGGTTGTTAACTTTCTGAGCAGTTTGGCAAACTGGTTATTGGAAGAAATCATTAGGGCAGAGAACCAGTTGTTAAATTATTTGAATCCCACCACTGAGTATATGTGCATGTGCTCGCCCACTGCTCATGCAGAGGGATGCCCGCACACGCACGAGTTTGCCCGCCACTTCAGGCGGCTCAGTTTTGAACAGCTCATAGTCCAGTAGTGGACCAGGAATTGGCAATCCCTGTATTACATTATTTATTTGAATTATGGTTTTCTCTATAATAAAGCACAAGAATTATGAAGGAGTACATTAGAAATACTCCAGAAAGGAAAAGCTGTTAGTAAAGCCTTTAATGAAGGAATTAGGATTTCAGAAAATAGATCTGAACTTTAATACATATTTCAGTGATCCATCCCATGTAACAGCAGTGATCAGGAAATTTTAGCTTGGTTCAATTCTCAATTTCAACTCCCATGAAATCTTTCTTTGCTACCATAGAGCGGTAAAAAGGATTACTCTGGGACCAGCTGTCAGGCAAAAATCCAGAAATTGAATTTTCCAACTCCACAGAACCCATTCCAACCACCTTAGAATCCTATTCAGTTGCTAGGAATTCATCTGTCACCCTCCGCCTCTATATTGCTTGCTTGCTTGCTTGGGCTGCCATTGTAACAGGGGGAGGGGGGAGGTGTCTGGATATTTGGAAAGGAGGAAGCGAGCTGGTGGAGAGGTCTTGTAACAGGGAGTGAATTGGAGAAAGTTTTTCTCAGCGCTTTCTCTGCAGCTGGAAGGCATGCTGTTAACAAGTCAAGGTCAACAATCCTGGCATACCAGAAGGATAGAGCCATCTGAAGCTGCACCCCACATGGCACCTTGGGGGGATGTGAATTGGATAATCCTGACTGGACCCTTGGGGGAAGGGTTTTGGGGATACTTTCTATATGTGATTTTCGCGCCTATTGTCTCAGACCTTGCTTTTCTTTGGTTGCATTCAGTTCATACTCAGTAAAAGTACTTTTCTCTATGAAAATGGAGTCGGGGTTTTTCTTTGAGTTGTGTGCTACAGATTATTTTTCTTCTTCCTTTAAAATTACACATAGCTATACTTCTGCTTATCTATTGCATCCCAAATATACCAACAATCCCCAATGTAATCTCTCCAAAGAATCAGGTGTTAGGCATTGGTGGGAATGGGATTTCTGATGTCTTACTCGTGCAGCCTTCAGTTTCTCTCTCATGCGTTCTCGCACAGAAGACTCTGCAAACTGTGTCCCCGAGATAGATGGAACTGGAAGCAAACAGAGAGAGAGAATTATACAATGACAACAATAAGCTCTTTTAAAGTTGAATTTCGTTGATGGTGTCTTCAAGGAAATGTCCACACCATTTTCTTGAAAACAATATAGTAAAGTTTTTAGCTACTGTATCTCTTTCTTTCAAAGATTTATTTAGTCTTTTATACAACTCTGATAGTCATACAGTCAAGTACTAACATGGCAATTTTTTATTTATTCATGGGAGAGTTACACAAATTCATGTGTCATTACAGAGGGTTGCAGGAGGTAGAAAATTCCTGAGTTACAGATTTATTTGTATATTGTTTAAAGATCTTTCAACTAGTTCCATAGTCGAGCCTTTCCAGAATGCTAGATTATGGCCTATCTTTAAAGCACACTGCATAACAGAGATGACACTAAGCCTTTCTTACAGAATTAAAAGCATTAAATTTTAGAACAGCTTTGGCTAGAGAGAAATTATGATAGCCACAACTAAGAAAGCTTGCTGAAGACAACAGAATTAATACAAAGATGTTCTATCCTGGATAAGGGGAGGAAGAACCCAAACAGTCTTTATATCAAAGTTTGTAGACTGAGAGGCATCATGGTTGAATGAGGGTCCTTAAGTAAACTACCATCTTGTAGCACGGGGGAACTACCTCAGGACTGAAAAAGAGCTGATGTGGTTCCCATCTTCAAAAAGAGGGGGGAAACAGATCCAGAAACTACAGAACAATCAGCCTGACATCAATACCTGGGAAGATCCTGGAAAAGATAATCAAGCAACATAACTGCAAACACCTAGAAGCAAACAAAATTATAAATAGAAGCAAACATGCCTTAGCCAAAAACAGATCATGCCAAACAAATCTTATTTCATTCTTTGACAAAGTGACTAAATTAGTGGATCAGCACAATACTGTGGACATACTGTATTTTTCGGAGTATAAGACACACCTTTTTCCCCCCAAAAAAGAGGGTGGAAATCTGGGTGTGTCTTATACTCTGAATGTAGCCCCGCTCAGCTTTTCAAACAGAGGTTTCAGAGGCTGAAAAAAGCATCAGAAAAGAAGCCCCCAAACAGAGCTTCAGAAAAGAAGCCCCCAAACAAAGCTTCAGGAAAAAAGTCCCCAAAAAGAGCTTCAGAAAAGAAGCCCCCAAACAGAGCTTCAGAAAAGAAGCCCCCAAACAGCACTTCAGAGGCTTTTTTTCTGAAGCTCTGTTTCAGAGGCTTTCAGAGGCAGAAAAAAAAGCAAAAAAAAAAGCAAGGCACAGCTCACAACCAAGGAACCTGTTGCTAAAATTCACCTCTGGGAACAGCTGACTGGGGGCATTCCGGAAGGCCAATCCACCTGCCAATCAGATTTTTTCTTATTTTCTTCCCCAAAAACTAAGGTGCGTCTTATACTCCGAAAAATATGGTAATATACTTGGATTTCAGTAAGACATTTGACAATGAAGTCCACAAACTACTTCTTCGTAAGCTAGAAAAATGTGGAATAGACAGCACTACCACCAGATGGATTTGTAACTGGCTAACAAACCATACTCAACATGTAATCCTAATGGAATTATATTAACATGGAGGGAGGTGGGCAATGGGGTACCCCAGGGTTCCATTTTAGGCCCAGTTCTCTTCAATATCTTCATAAGTGATTTTAGATGAGGGAACAGAAGGGGAACTCATCAAATTTGCAGATAACACCCTGGCAGCAGGGCCGGATTTAGATTGAAAGAGGCCCTAGGCTATTCCACTTATGAGGCCCTTTCACCAGTGGTGGGATTCAATTTTTTAACAACAGGTTCTGTGGGCGTGGCTTAGTTGGAGGTGTGGCTTGGCAATCATGTGACTGGGTGGGCGTGGCTAGCTGGTCACATGACTGTATAGGCGTGGGTAGCTCGTCATGTGACCGGGTGGGCGTGGCTATGTGCATAGACTTTTTTCAGAGGGCTGAAAAAAGTCATTTCTGACTGGGCCTCACACTTATGACCATCCTCACATTTATGCCCGTGCAGCTTTCTTAACAACCATGTCACTCATTTCACAACTGCTTTTCTTCACCATGGTGACAAGAGAGGGCAAAAACGTAAAATGTGAGGACAGTCGTAAGTTCGAGGACTGGTCAAAAGTGCGAAGACCAGTCAAAAATAACTTTTTCAGCCCTCTGAGTAGTCCATATGCACAAAAGGACTACCCAGAGGGCTGAAAAAAGTCATTTCTGACTGGGCCTCGCACTTTTGATCGGTCCTCACACTTATGACCATCCTCACATTTATGCCCGTGCAGCTTTCTTAACAACCATGTCACTCATTTCACAACTGCTTCTCTTCACCATGGTGACAAGATAGGGCAAAAATGTAAAATGTGAGGACAGTCATAAGTTCGAGGACTGATCAAAAGTGCGAGGACCAGTCAGAAATAACTTTTTCAGCCCTCTGAGTAGTCCATATGCATAAAAGGATACAGCAATAGAGAGGGATGAAGGAAGGGAAAGGAAATTAGAGTAGGAGAGAGAGGGAGGAAGAGAGGAGGAGAAGGAGAAAGGAAGAGGAAGTAGGGAGGAGAAGAAGAGGGGGAGGAAGAGAAAGTAAGAAGGAAAGAAAAGAGAGGTGGTAGGTTTGAGGAGAAAGATTGCTGTACAATAAAAAAGATGAAAGGGAAGAAAGCCAACCCCAAACAAATATAAAGATATTAAGATAAAGAATGAATTGTTAAACTTTAAAGAATAAAAGAGAACAAATATGAATAAATAACAATAATTAGAAACACACATACAAACATACAATGTATTTTCTTTGAACAGAGTATTTGGCCGGTTCACAAATTTAAACAATGTTTAGTCATTTCAATTAAATTTATAATTTCTATATTTCCTTTTTGCCATATTTATTCCTCATCTATTTTTGTAAAAAACCAATATTACCCTCATCTCTAATCTTAATCAAATTCAATTTTCCCTTCTATTCTATATTATACCCCTTCCCATTGTCATCTATTTTTATATCCATCCTCACATTGGTTAATTATGTAATATTGCAGTTGTTTAATATGAATTCAACATTTTAATATAAATTAATTAGTTATATAACTACCTTTTTTATATATTAATCAATATGAACATGAATATTCCAATTATTTCCATGCAATCCAATTTCTTACAAATCAATTAATTATATTTACCAATAATAATAAACCAAATAATTTCCCCCATATATTCCTCCAAACCACAACTTAACCATTTCTGCTTTCAACACAATATACAATTAATAGTATCTCAATTATTACAATTCCCTAGTTAAATAAAGCTTTTTTTCTTTTGTGTTTTAAAATCTCCTCTTTTTCCCTAAATTTCCTGTTGTTTGCACCTACCTTTTTTGGTGAGGAAAAAGAAATCTGCCTGCCTAATTTTGCAACGTGCAAAGCCAACAGCCTGCTTTACTTTCTCTTTCGTTTTTCAGTATAGCTGGGGGGGGGGAAATCAGCACTCTTTGCAAGGCCTATGCTGAAGGCGTGGAAGCTGCTTTCTCCATCCTGCTCTCTTGCGGCTGGAGCCAGTGGGGAACCACATGGCAGCCCACGTGGATCCCAGGCAGCGGAACTCAGGCTAGGGAAGGGGTGGGCAATTGTGGCTCTTTTACAACCTGTGGCCTTCAACCAAGCTGTCTCAGGAATTCTGGAAGTTGAAGTCCACAAAAGAGCCACAATTGCCCACCCCTGGCTACGGTAGGCTGGCGCCGCGTGGATGGGAGGCGAGGGGCGGGCGAGCCAGCAATTTAACAAAGGGCTCGGCCGAACCCCCTAGAACCCCCAGAATCCCACCACTGTGTAGGCCCCTCTTGATCTTGAGGCCCTAGGCTGAAGCCTAGTTAGCCTATAGGAAAATCCGGCCCTGGCTGGCAGGAATAGCCAATACCTCCGAAGATAGGCTCAAGATCCAAATGGATCTCGACAGATTTGAACACTGGGTAATATCTAATAAAATGAAATTCAGTGTAGACAAAAAGTAAAATTTTATATTTAGGCAACAAAAAACATTTGTACATGTACAGACTAGGGAAAATTTGGCTCAATACCAGTAACTGTGAGAGGGATCTTGGTGTGATAATGGACAGTCACTTAAATATGAGGTAGCAGTATGTGGCAGCAGCCAAAAAAGCCAATGCAATCCTAGGCTGCATAAATAGAGGGATAGACTCAAGATCAAGTGAAGTATTAGTACCGTTTTACAAAGCCTTAGTTAGACCACACTTGCAATACTGCATCTAACTTCAGTCACCACAATATAAAAAAGATGTTGAAATTGGAAAGAGTGCAGAAAAGAGCAATAGGGATGATTAGGGGCTGGGGACTAAAATTTATGAAGAATGGTTGCAGAAATTGGTTCTAGGTTGCTTCTCTCCTTGGTTAATTTCCATCCATTGTTCTTGTCTTGCCTTTTGGTGCTTTGGAAAATAGTTTGACCCCCTCGTCTTTGTAGGAGCACCTCAAATATTGGAATACTGCTATCATGTCTTCCCTAGTTATTTTCATTAAACTAGACATACCCAATTCCTGTAACTGTTCTTCATATATTTTAGCCTCCAGCCCTCTAATCATTCTTGTTGCTCTTCTCTAAACTTTTTCCAGTCTCAACATCATTTTTATATTGTGATGACCAGAACTGGATGCAGTATTCCAAATGTATGCAAGTAGAATTAAGTGTGCTGGGAAGTATCATTAAGGGTACATCTCCGCTACTTCTTGAGAAAATGAAGGAGATAATCTATTTATATATACTTTCTCATAAAATGTATATCTATTTTACTTTCTTAAATATTTTTTAGAAAGGAGACAGAACTGAAAAGCTTCCATAACCAATTGACTAATATTTAAAAATGAAACATATAAGAATCTCATACTGTGATCTTATGTGATTCCCAGTTCTTTTGGGTTGTTGATTCCAAGAAAGTTGCAACTGTCTGTTTCAGCAAGATTGGGACTAGTAAAGAAAGATATTGTACTTTTCTGTAA